AAGTTGTGAACTGCAGACTTGATGCAAGTTGTGAACGGCAGGCTTGCTGCAAGTTGTGAACTGCAGACTTGATGCAAGTTGTGAACTGCAGACTTGATGCAATTTGTGAACTGCAGACATGATTTTGATGTAAACATTTGATGTTTTTGCGATGACGCGTGATTTTGCCCGCGCAACCTGTTGTAACAAAGTTTGTAGCAAACATCAGCAACTATAGGCATTTTGTACAAAATGGATATTGAAACATTTTTCAGGCGCAATTTGTGAACTGCAGACTTGATGCAATTTGTGAACTGCAGACTTGATGCAATTTGTGAACTGCAGAGTATCAAGTCTGCGCTATCACTGTATCAGGCTTGCTGCAAGTTGACATTTACAGACTTGATGCAACTTGTATCATCAACTTGCATCAAGTCTGCAAATGTCAACTTGCAGCAAGCCTGTTTTCAACAGGCTTGCTGCAAGTTGATGACGTCAACAAGTCTGCTGCAACTTGTTGACAACTTGCAGCAGGCCGGTAAAATCCGCGGCGTTTCTGGCTGTTTATTCGTCACATAGCTGTCTTTAGGGGCACATTCTTTATAGCGCTAACATCCCATGGAGGCTGTGGACCACTGCACTTGCCATGAAATATTTTTTGCCTCCTCCCAGCATTTCCAAACAAAATCTATGAATTCTTCATTAAAACATTTTTTGACACTTTTTTGTTCTTATTTTTAAACAATTCACGTGTAGCTGAGGTATGTGTTGGTTTTGTATTTAAAAAAAAATCGATAAAATGTATTCATTTTCAATATTTTGGTGTCATAGAAAACAGATAATGAATGCATTCGCGTGCAATATATATAGTCAAAAAATTTCAATCAGTGAAGTCGCCTCGTGGAATGGAAAATCTTTCACCTCATGAAAATATTCTTACCATTTCACTCATATTTAGGGACTATGTAAAATTTATTTTATACGAGGGCGGAGCAAAAGGAGACGGGGCACATATTTTTTTAGGTGCATAGAAGCGGGGCACACAGATTTTTTTCTGCCTTTGAGGCGGGCACACACTTTTTTCGAGTTTACCAGTTTCCTTCCATTAAGGCGGTTTTCCACTAGGCGAAATTTTTCGACCGAATCGAAATTTTCGTTTGCCCTACAAGCACTCAGATGGAACTAAAGAGAAATCGTTTGAATTTGAACAATAGAAATTTCAGTTCGATCGAAAAATTTCGCCTAGTGGAAAACTGCCTTAAGACAAGAGAAAATTTCGATTCGGTCGAAAAATTTCGCCTAGTGGAAAACCGCCTTTAAGCACAGAATCTGCAAATATTTCAAGCATTAAACAGTGAAAAATGCATCGCAAATTTCGTTAAAGTTGGCGACGCCAATTTCGTAGCTACAAATGTAAAAAAATACAAAACAAAGACGAAAAACATTTACCTTGAATACTTTGTCGTGGCTTAGGCATGTTTTTAAAACAATTAGACCAGTTTATGCTTCAATATTACTCTTTTAAAGCGGAAAATATAGCGAAACAACAAAAATGCTGAGAACTTTGGCAATGCGCGTGACGTCACAGATTGCAACTAGGTTTAGACTGTGACGTCAGGAAGTTTCCTATCCAGTTGTTTTACAATCCATGGTATAAAAAGGCTTCCTTTTTTTAGTAAAGCTCAGAGCGGGGCTACAGATTTTTATCACAACAATCTAAGCGGGGCTCGCTTTTTTTACATTCAAAATTGATTTGCTCCGGCCCGGAGGTAAAATAAATTGTGCATGGTCCCTAAACAATTGTAATCTTTTGTGTCCATTATATACAACTATCTACTGGGCTCCCATGCTTAGACTGTCATAATCTCATTTCCGACAGGCCATCGATTCAGTGATTCGAGTAGCCCTCCGTCATGCAGTCCAACACCAAGCGAAATCTCTGATTCTGCCATCGCTGACAACGGTCGTACTTCCACCGCCTGCCAGACCTCTTTCTTTTACCCGCAAGTATTGGAAAATGAGATGAAATTTCCCTATATCGACCTGTCTGGCTGGAGGAGAGAGGAAGTGTGTTGTGGCATTATATTTAAAGGTCCTAATGGGGAGGTGTTGGTTGATCCCAAATGGCTTAAACCGTACTGCTACTGCTCCCGAGGACAAACTAGAACTATGGTGAAACAAGACTCGCTTGGAAGTTAGGGAATAATTGGGTCCATATATTTAGAACGGTGAACTGTCTATAAGACTGGAACGATAACTCTGGCGTTGTTTTCGACGCCAAGATGGCGGACATTTAAGACCGTTTTGTAGGTGTGCTCCAATGCTTTAATAGCAGGGTGTTAGCTAGCCCATTCTAGGTCTACTGGAAGATTTTCATTTTTCTGATGATAAAGTGAATGGGGTTTATTTTATATTATTATATCAAAGAACGTTTTGTTTACTTTTTCCCATTAACTATTTTCCAAATTGTGTATCGCGTTTTACTCATATTGGGTGTGTATTCACCGAAATTATATGTACAAAACAAAGTGTAATCGGGTGCATTTTTTCAGTGTTCATTCACCGGAAATGAAATGTACAAAACCAAGCTACCGTTGTTTGCATCTAAGGAGTAACACTAACTAACACGTTGGAAAAAACCACTATTTATTCCTACACAAGGACTTTGATCGGTTAAAAATACTTTCCCAATTTACGTTTAACGGACAAAACTTTTTTTCTGGCTAACACCCTGTTAATAGACAGATTTAGAAAAGACAACGAGGCAAACACAACGACACAATCTGAATTTCAGCTCAAGATTGAGAGTTGATCAATTTCTAAACTAGTTTCTTTTGGGATTGTTTTTTATTAATTGCGTTAGCGTTACCATTTAACACCTCTTCCATCTTCCGAAAATGACGTCATATCAGTTTGGTGGATGGAAACAAGTGCCGACCCAAGCATAGGGCCCTTTTATCTGGAGTTATCGTTCCAGTCTTTATATAGAGTTCACAGATTTGGAATCATTATGTTGACGTGTTTGTATCTATTGTGTGCATATATATGTGTCCATATACTTTTATGCCCTCGGTCGCATCCAAGGGGTTGTTTATATGGAGGGGAGCCAGCCCGCAAAATTATATTTAGTAGGAAATAGGCGGGATCTCGCCTAAACCGGGCCAGCTCGGGTACCCAGGCTCGCCCCATATAAACAGCCCCTAAATCATGGTCACAGTAATTCAACATGTTGGCCAACGTTAAACGACTTAAACCGTGTTTACACTACAGACTAGAGGTGTGCATCGGATTGGATTGGACGTTTATAATCCAACAATTGCCTAATGTTTAAAATCCGATCCGATCCAAGTTTTGATAAAGAATTCCAATACGATCCGAAGAATTCTTTAATAAAATAAATTTCTCATTCAAGTTGAAATATTTAACCAAATAAATATAAAAGCAAGAAATACATGTCAAGAAGCTGACAAAGTGACGTCCAATTGAAGTATCTAACGAATAATGTAGCGACAACCGCGATGATGCTTTGATAAATGCATGGATAATTAATTCTTGCGATAATGCGTGGATAAGTCATTTTATTTCGGATATAGAAGTCCGATCCGACTACGAAAGAACTTTATCAATCCGATCCGAAATGAATATTTTGGTTCCGAAATCCGATCGGGTCGGTTTCGGATCGGATTTGCACACCTCTACTACGGACTGACGTTTACCCGAGACGTACCTGTACCTGAAAAGTACCTAACTGTGACCAACATGGTGTGTTTATACTAGAAACCTGGGAAAAGCCCGTTCTGTTGTAAACAGGAATAGTGTTTCAGGCTTACAAAAAGATTTAGATATTTTACTATTCTTGAATATGAATATAATAAAGTGGAAATTGAACTTCGAATCGTGCAATTTTGGTCTGAAATCCAACTTGTGATGAGTAATAATTGCCCTCGTGGTCGTGCCATTTTGTTATCATGTGTTTGATTCGTGTGCAATCGAGAGGGGGAGGGGGGTAATTTGGAATTTGGTGTAACTTGGACGCAGTACTAACTTAAGAATTCCGTCAAGCGCCTTTCGCCTCTGAGATTGTGGATACTGGGTTCGATCCTCGCCTCGAACTAAGGGACCGGTCATTATTTATGGTGGGGGGTGGCACCGAAGAGAAATGTTTTTTGTGGCAAAAATTTTGCTGACCCAACCATTAAAAAGTCAAAAATTTGATTACCCTACCTCAAATATCAATTAAAAAATAAATACCCACCCCTGGCCAAAAACTTTACAAATTGAAAACCATTCAGTTGTCACACGTGTCCTTTACCATTTTTGTGACATGAGTTTGATAACGGCTTGTGAAATTTTCTAAAGTTGCATGTTGTCTGCAACAAATCGGACTGAAATGATCAAGATAGTGACTCTGATTGATTCACATATTGTATTGACACATCATTGTTGACATTGCTTTTCAGTCTCCAATATTTCAGTAAGTCATGCTTTGGAAATGACAATAAATTTTTTGATTACCCAACCCTTGAGTTGTTTTGTTTTTCATTTACCCAACCTTTTACTCACTCAAAATTTTGTTTACCCAACCCTTCTCTCTTCGGTGCCACCCCCCGCCATAAATAATGACCGCTCCCTAATGACACTTATGTGAAAAGAGTTCGTCAACGCTCTACCAAAAGTCGTGGGTTTTCACCGGGTGCTCCTGTTTCCTCTTGCCAGGGTGGGTTTGGATTAGGGGCCGGTCATTATTTATGGTGGGGGGTGGCACCGAAGAGAAATGTTTTTCGTGGTAAAAATTTTGCTGACCCAACCATTAAAAAGATAAAAAAATGATTACCCAACCTCAAATATAAATTGAAAAATAATTACCCACCCCTGGCCAAAAACTTTACAAAAGGATACCATTCAGTTGTCACACATGTCTTTTACCACTTCTATGACATAAGTTTGATAACGGCTTGTGAAATTTTCTGCAGTCTAAAGTTTCATGTTGTCTGCACATGCACTTTCTTTGAAAACACCATTTGTTTTGTCAAAATGATAAAGATAGTGACTCTGATTGATTCACATATTGTATTGACAAATGACTGTTGACATTGCTTTTCAGTCTTCAATATTTGAGTGAGTCATGCTTTGGAAATGACAATAAATTTTTATTACCCAAACCTTGAGTTGTTTTGTTTTTCATTTACCCAACCTTTTACTTATACTCAAGATTTTGTTTACCCAACCCTTTTCTCTTCGGTGCCACCCCCCGCCATAAATAATGACCGGTCCCTTAGCCTCCTAAACGACCACCGTGGCTGTGCTCCGTGGTCAGACATGAGTCGTAAGGTGGGCTGCGTCCTTCGCAATGGACCATTTGCATTATAGACTAAATTTTGATCTAGACAAAAATTTCACCACAGCTTGAAAGAGCATCACAAAATGAGTAATATTCCAAAGTTTCGTTGCGAAATGTTGTAAAATGCGGATAATATAGCCTTGCGAAATTTGCAATTTTCAGTCATTTTGTATTACAAACGGGTAATTGATGCCCCAACACCCGATTGGGCTGTCAATTTCCCGTGCGTAATACAAAATGACTGAAAAACGGCAAACGTCGCATGGCTATATTATCCGCATTTTACAACATTTCGCAACGAAAGTTTGGAATATTACTAATTTTGTGATGCTCTTTCAAGCTGTGATGAAATTTTTGTCTAGATCAAAATTTAGTCTATAATGCAAATGGTCCATTGGCCTTTCTCACGAAGGCCAAAATCCGCCATTTTGGAGGTACTGTCTCACTGTCTCGTGGTGCGGAGACTCACAAACGTGGAAGAGGTAGTACCCAAAAAATGGCGGGAAAATCGGCCGTGAGAAAGACTAATTCAGCTTAGCTCTCGGCTGTGCAAATAAGGATGATTAGCACACCCCACTAACTTAAGATAAATACATTGTTTTGACATGTTTTCTGGGTGTATAAAAAAGGTAATCCAAAAATTTGGCGTGTTATTTTCCGGTATGTAGGATGGATCCTCTCGCGCAAAAAAACGTGTCATGTTTTTGTGTCAAAACATTTAGGAATGCTACTTGTATTCCTTGCCTGGTGAAATCGACATTTAGGAATGACGACAGCTGATTGGTCTGCGGAAAATAAATGACGACAGCTGATTGGTCTGCGGAAAATGAATGACGACAGCTGATTGGTCTGCCGAAAATTGTGCTGCGATTAGCTGCATGTTGTCTTGGGTCCTCTGCGTCAAAACAACTGTGCATGAGGGCTTTCGAATAATACTGTCGTAACAAATTCTTAATTGTTCTTACAAACATATATTAGGCCCGTTTCATACGCCATACTTCACATGTGCCGAATACATTAAAGACAATAGATAATGAGCTGAAATGCCTCATTACCTATTGTTTTTAATGTATTCGGCACATGTGAAGTACGGCGTATGAAACGGGCCTTAGG